TAAAAGCTGCATTTGCAGTTGAAAACTCAAACAGTGTAAAAATTGTAAAGTGACTCATAAAATGACTAACATGACATCTATATAGTCTTCGGGAGACATTTTCTACCCTTTTCATACCCAATCACAGATTAATTCATCAGTTTGATAAAATAAAAAATAATTAATATATTTCTGTCATGTATCTCCTTGCAGTCAGAATGATAAAATATTCACAAGAGAGGTGGCTTGGAAACATGAATTTGATGAAGATGATTTAAAAAGAAAGAAACTTTAATTAAAGTCTAGAAAGGTCATTGAGTCCTACCATCAGATAATGGTGAAATTATAAAACAGATGGCAAATGTCCCCAAGAAGAAGAGAAGCAGTGGTCTGGAAAAAAAGAAAGAGATATTGTTAACAAAGTAAAACTCCACTTAGCAAAGGCATTGCTGCCAGTCTAACAGCCCGTAGAGCAGGGAGAAGCTGTCAGACACTGTGGACATGCAGAATTAGACATTTTACTCCTGTTACAAAACAAATTGCACTTTTGGAGAACACTGTATTTAGATTTGTCTCAATTATTTTACTGACTTTTTTTTTTACTTTCTCTCTATTATTTTTTTTTAGGTGCACTGTGGTAGAGGAAGGACGCCTGGTGTCCCCACAGATAGTAAGCTTGAGTCATGATGTGAAGCCTCATTTTTCAGCCAAGCTAAAGGTGAGGACCAGCTGCCCCTGCTGCACCTGGGTGACTATTCAGAGCAGAAACAGAGTGAAAAGGTCCTGTTGGCAACGGGCATCTGCGTGTCTTAACCCACTGACTGAAAGGGCTGTGTGTGCTTGGGATGTGCCGAGGGCTGGGCTGTGGTACGGTCATCCCGGGGTTAGATCCCCATTGTAATAGAAGTTGTAAACACACAGAGCACTTCTGTGCTCTTGCTAGGACCATTTAATCCAGCTACAGCTGGCAATGCGAACAGTAAAGATGCAGTGGCAGCAGTTTTAAATCACGCTGGCAGTCTGGCTGCATGCTTTGGTTGACCTGTGCTGTTTCCTGGCCCACCCTGCCATGTCCCTGCAGATAAGGAAGAGAATAAAAACCACCAGCATCATTCTGCCATGGTATCGAAGCAAGGTCCCCCTGCACTGAGTGCTCTGTGCAGCCCTGAGTGTACACACCTCAAATTAGATAGGCAGATCCAGAAATGCTGCAGAGATGAGGGGAGGTTTGGAGTGGCTTCCTCGTGATGTGCTCCTGGCAAAGGGCTGTCTTCAGGTTGGGTGAGGGTCTGGAAAACAGAGGCCATCAGCTGTCCTCTGAGGGCAGGATACAGTTCTTACAGCATCAGGAGCAGACAAATAAAGAATAATTTGGCATTTGGACTCTTTTCTTTCTCTCAAATACTTTAGGAAAACTAGGAATTCCCCACAGGGATGCAGGTTCAAAGCAAACTGCAGGAGGCCATTTGTCACATGGCTCACAGCTTCACTGGAACTCATCAATGGGAATTTTAAAAGAGATGGAGAAACACTTGGAAGAGAGCCCACTAGAGTTAGTTTACAGCAAAGATGATGGTTTGGGCTCAAGAAATTTTCAAGTTGAAAAACTTGGGATCTAGGAGAGCTTTCTGAGGAGGTATTGCTATAAACTTGTCCCATCCTCCTACCTTTCCCTAGGCGTCTAGGGAAAACCTGACTGACTGATGTTAGAGCAGGACATCAGGTGAGACAGACCCATGGTGAGCCCAGTGTGGCCATTCCTGTAACGTTACTGCTATGTTTTCAGCCAGGTTAATGTTATACACGTTCCCATTTCTGTGAGTCCTGTCTTACACCAAGGCCTTACTGGTGGCCACAAATAATGGGAGCAAAGGCAAGAAGGAAGTTCAGGAGCTTCTCTGTCCATGCTCCTGGTCTTTGACAGGATCAGCTCGACCTAACCTGTACCTGGCAGATGCCTTTTTCTGGCCTGAGGAACCTCTGCCCTCTGTCTGAGAACTCTCACTAGTGCTTTGCTGTTCTGAGCATCAGAAAGTGTTTCATAGGCCTCAACCTATTGTTCTACAGCCTTGATCTGTTCTCTTTACTCTGTCCTCGGGGAGCATGAAGAGGAGAGAATGACACTTTCAACTAACCTTCAACTACAACCAGAGATGTTTACCGTTTTGGAAGATCCTGGACAGAGACAAGAATAGAGGAGAAAAAAAAAGTCTTCCATGTTGTAGGATATGTGAACTGCTGTAATACAATATTTGGGGAAGAATTGTGTGGCTTTTGTGGGAACTTGGTGCTGAGAAGGTCTTATATCCTTTCTGTCTGCTGTTGAGGGAAGTAAGAGGAGGAGGGTTTTTTGTTTGTTTGCTTGCTTTTCTTTCCTTTTTTCTTTTTCTTTTTTCTTTTTCTTTTTTTTCTTTTTTTTTTTTTTTTTTTTTCAGAAAACAACTGAAAACCTGGAGAATTTTTAGTTGCCCTATCCATATCACTGTGATTACTGTCCTGTTCAGTGTGAGCTGTTACACGCTGCTTCCCCACAGACCCCACTGCTGCTCAGTGTTGTGGAGGTCTTAGCGTTAAGGCCAGCCAGACTCAGGATTGCTCATGCAACCTTAATCCACCATGATCTCATCTTCCCTTAACCTGTCACAAACTATTTTTTTTCTACTAAACCCTGTCTCAGCTAAAGCAGAGAACGATGGCTCTCTGTTACGGAGCAGCTATTTGAGACACTTGGCTCCTTATTGTTGGATGCACAGCCCCAGGCCTGAGCTATTGTGCTCTCTTCAAACCCTCCAGGGTTCTTCTTGTGCCCATTGCTGCCCGGTGAGTGAATGGATGGCTGAAGGGAAGTTAAGAGCCTGGAGGCTGAGTTCCTGCCTGAAGTGCACCTCCTTTGTCCAAGCACCTTACCTTTACGCCACTACCCACTACGTGTCCTGCAGCACCCAAGAGGGCCCAGCCCTTGCCACCAGCAGGCCCCCAGGGACCGAGCCGTGCTGAGCACACCACGAGTGATGGGTGAGGGAAGTGACAGGGATCACACTGTCATTCCCAGCTAAAACAAACAGCTTTCTCTTCTCTCCCCAGCCTTCACGCTTTCTCTCCTTGCAGACAAAGAAGGCAGTAAATGCTCTCCTTTGCTGCCCAGCATTGACTCATACCTCGAGCACATTCATTATGGTGAGGCAGTGCTGTTGTGGAAGAAATGTCAAGTGGCTATGTAATTAAATACTGCCAGCAAAAATATATATACCAAATGACTTCCCAGGCCCTCATGCTTCACAAACCAAACAGTATGGCACTTCGCAAAGGAATCTCATTGATTTCAGCGGAGGACGAGTTTCTCTCATAATCTGAGTCAGCCTTGATGTTACTGACTATAAAACAGCATTCTTGGCATCTGTCTCAGGCTCTCAGCGGGGATATGTGCAATTTGAAGTGACGGTCTCAGACATTTAAATCACAGATCCTTGTCCCACACAGTAGATAAAAGAAAGTGAAGACGGGCGAAACTAAGCTGTGACACATGCTGGCTGGCAGGGTGGGCTGAGGGAGATGGGCCAGGTTCTGCCCCCACTTACCTGCAGCACTCCTCTGCCTGGTGTGACCCCTCCTGGAGCTGGGCTGGCTGAATGGGACGTTTGTCCTTGAGCAGCCACTCTTCTCAGGGAGTTATTTAATACTAAAACCCATTAATTAACAGAGATAAATGGAAGTTTTCAGAGATATCATGTACTATAAAGAGGCAGATGAGATCCACACCCCATGCAGTAGCCCTGCTAACTGCAGCTGGCTGGGTAGCCTGAGTGGGGTACTCGGCTCCATCCACTGCAGTGAAACTGGTCTGAGACCCTCAGCTGGGGTCTGGTTTGTAAAATGGCCTTCAAATGTCACCAGTTGTGCTCTCCATCCTCTGACCCAGCACCCATTTTGCTTTCCAGTCATCTCTGTGCTTCAACATTGGCTCTTTGTCCTAGTAAACTCAAGGACCAAGCCAATTTTCATGTGCAGTGTGTTGTTTGTATATCTCGCGTATGAAAGATCAAAGGTGGGCTAACAAGGCTGCTCTTTTCCCTACTATCTTCAGCATCCCTTTGGCTCACTGAGATATTAAACAAGTATGACAGTACAGACCAAACACTCTTGGTTACCTTTTGGGCACATACTGGATGGACTGAAACAGAAACCAGATCGACATGCCTCTTTCTTTTTCCTTTTTCAAAGAAAATCCTGCAACCAGGGAGCAAGGATCTAACACACCAGAGTTTGACCTTTGTTGTTGTTGTTGTTGTTTCTATAGCAATTAGCTGATTTCCTTTTGGTTTGTCTTTTATCTGGTTTTGCATGTCTGTTCCGTTTTCCAGAAAGTGTCTTTGATTTACAGTGTGCTAAAGATTCTAAAGGAAATTACTCCCCTTTCTTTTGCCTATTTAAACTGGTTAATGTGTTTAAAAATTTTCTCCTCCTGCCAAAGGCAGTGTAAAATGAAGGTTTTGCAGTGGCGTCCATGGAACGACTCACTGCTTTCATGTGCATACCCAAGTTTAAATAATTTCCCTCCATCAGTTATAACCTTCCATCATCAGGAATGGGGTGATTTAGGCATGTTTCTTTGCCAAAAGAAAATTTGAAGGCTGTTGCTCAAAGGATCTTTTTTTGTCATTTTACCCCATGGCCAATGCTTAAAAACAAAACAAAACCTACTGCTACGCTACTGAAATCTAAAACATCTCTGATATCAGTTAGAGCTAGGGAGGATGTGTCAGAAGTTTAGAGAATTGAGGAAGAAAAGGGGAAAATGAGCATATTTTTGCAAATCCCTTTGTCTGACTAGGGGAGCTGGAAAAATACTGTGACTATTTTAGCGTGCTCCAAATGAACTTTAACTGCTTACAAGTTTTTTTGTTTTGTTTTGTTTTGTTTTGTTTTTTAACGTAAATTAAGTACAACTGCTCTTTGTGATAAGTACAAATTGGAAATATATGGGGGCACTCCCTTGCTGGTGCTCACACCTGCAGCAAGTTTCTAGGAGGTATTAAAGCCATTCATCTCCGGTAGAGTAGGAGGGTGTCACGGTATTTCTACTGGAGGGGATGTGGGGGTCATTCCCCCCAGAGGGCATTTGCATCCTAAAGCGACTGATTCTGCTTGGGTCTGGTCTCAACCAAGAGGCATTTGAGAGCACCCCGCATTAACATATGTGCATGTTCAGTCAGATTTGAGCCGGCACTTTGCACTTTCCTGCGATAAAGGATGGAGAAAGGCTTCACGCTGAGGGCTGCCGAGCACCTGCCCAGGTAGGAAAGATTGTTCTTCAGGAGCTGAATGATTTGCTAATGGCTTTCAAGCACAGGAGATGGCTGCACCTGGCCACCCAACTGCATATTTGCATTTCCAAGAAGAGAAGAGCTCTCCCTAGCCCAGAGGGAAGATTGGTGAAATTACCTTTAGTTGGAGGGGGATCAATGCATCCTCGATGTGATGACTTAGTTTGAATTTGAGAAGGTGAGGCAACATGCTGTGTTCATCCAGGACTTTTTTTTATTTCCATGAATGCAAACTGAGAATGCAGAGCGGGCATCCTGTGACCAAGCCTGGTGAGGTAAGAGTCTCCAGGCTCTCAATTAACCCCTGTGGAGTTGGTTTTTCTACTGGTTTTGAGCTTAAAGCAACGACATGAAATGCTCTTTTCTTTCCGTTGTCTAATAGACGTCTTTACAAACCTTTGAAATATCGTGGTCCACTTTAGATTTTATTTTGCTAGGTTTTGGCTTAAACTGGCTTGTGTCAAGTGTGATTTCAAAGTGATGGGGTAAAAACCAGGGTGCTCATCGTTATGGACAGAGGGTTCTTCAGGCTGGGCACCCTCCCAGTCTTGCAGTGCTCTGAACCCAACATCTTGCTCCCTACAGAAATGTGCAGGTGAGCTCTTGGGCAGTAGGAGATGAGCGTGCTTAAAATCCTAAGAGATTTTAAGGTGTCTGTAGCAGGGTTGCAAGCAGAAGCATACATACACACACTCAAGTATGTAAAATGTAATCCCAGTCACACAGTATACACCAAATAAACGCCAAATAGATACATTTATGTCCAGAAACACTATAATAAATTGCTAAAAGAAGCAAGGCATATCAGGATATATAGGATGTGGGGTTATGTCATTACAATGTACTTATCACCAGCTGGATGTGATAGATAGCCATATAAGTAGATCTTGTTTATTAACTCATACTTGTGGTATAAGGCCACATGAACACAACGTATTCACAGCTACATAAAATCTCTCCCTCTTATCAGCTCACTTCCCATCTCAGCAGAAAATGTCTTGTCTCTTACTGAATCCTTCTGGCTCACTCTTCTTACTTAGGGGAATGTTTCTGTCCTTTGGTTTCCCGGAGGTAATGTGGGGATAGTTTACATGAAGCCACTCAGTATACAACCAGACCACGGGAAAAAAGGCTGACAGTTGTTTTTTTTGTTTGTTTGTTTTTTTTGTTTGTCAAGTTATGTTGTCAGTTCCCTGGCTATCAGCAAAGAGTGGCAATGCTTAAGTTATACTTGTGGAAATCTTGTGACTAGCCTGATGTTTGCCCTGTAAGAGAAGGGGAGCAAAGCACTGCGGGGACTGCCAGCCTGGGCCTGTCCCAGTCCCTCAGAGAGGGACCAGGGCAGGCTGAGGTGGGAACAAGCCCCTAGAGGTAGGGATCTGTGCTTGTAGCCTCAATACAGTGGCTGTTAAAAGGTGGATGACAGTCCACTTTCACACTTGATTTTATTCTCTCCTGACTTCTGGTGGTGCCTAAAGGACAGCTTGTCTACACCTGTACAAGTGTTATTAGTTTTTTATTGCTGTAACAAGTCAAAAAAGTGCAAACGTTGAAGGCTATGTGACAGCAGGAGGTTTTATGTAGTTCACAGTAACCTTTTAATATCAGTTTCTGTTTCTAAGCCCTTTCTGAAGCTGGTTTGTTGCTAATATCCCCATTATGTCATGGGAAACCTGAGGCACAGGAGCCTGTGAAGGTCTCAGACCAGGCCTGATAACAGAACTAGAATTAAGACTTCAGAGCCACTGCACTACCAAATAGCTTACAGAATAGCTGATTCAGATGAAAGATGCTTGTCTAGTTCATTGATTTACACAATCATCTGTGACCCTGACGCTGTAGGACAGATGATGCTATTACTACCTCATAGTAAGGAGATATTACAGAGGCTTTGTCAGGCTCATTTTGGCCTGATCCCTTAGTCAGGAGCATCCAAGACAAAAGTAATTTGTGATTTGTTCCTCCTAGGCAAATTACCATTAAAATCTTTACATCTTGTTCTTCCCTGTGAGGAGTGGTGGATATGCAGTATATTTCCCAGCAAAGCTGTCCTGAAGCATTTTAAGAGAATTTAATCCCTTCAGTCCCATCTTTAACTTGTTTTTGTAAAGGAACAAGACAGATGCAATTGCAGGAGCCATACACCTGCAGTCTCTTATCTTCCCCTTGACCTTTAATAAGGAGGAGCCCCTCTGTTGATGCCAACTGGAGCTGACAGAGGGGGAGAGATCTCAGAGGTACTTCAGTCTTGGGTTTTTTGTGGAAGTGGCAGCAGAAAGAAACCCTATGGGGACCACCACCAGAGATTCCAGCATGACCTTCCCAAATTCAGGCAGGGTAGAGAGTGGTAGAAAGGGGAGGATCTGAAGTATCATGAGCTTGGGAGAAAACATGGACTGTTACAAAGGGGTGTAGTGAATGCCATTCAAGAAAATCACACAGCTGTAGTTCTGTTCTCGTGGACTACCTTATTCCCTCTTCCAGCTCTCCTGTGACGCCCATCTGGGAATTGTGAAATCCAAGAGAGGGGTAGGGAATGCCAAGCAAACCAGAAACCTGCTCTAAATTCCTCTAAATCTGACTAAGATTTTGCTGTGCTGCAGTGGAGAGATGTGGAACAAAACCTGCATGCTCGGGGAGCTCAGGATTTTCCTTCCCAGAAGTGATGCATCTTCCATGATGCACATCGCTGGAACATTGCTGCCTTTAAGGCCCGGCCTTTCACCTTTAGCCCTGAGATCTCCTGTGATGGTGACTGTCAACTCCCTCAGTGGTCTGTCCAGGACTGATTGCAGCTCCTGCAAAGGGGCTGGCTGGAGGAAGGAGATAACATGACCCACAGAGCAACTACATGGAGCCATGGTCCCAGACAAGATGCACTGGTGTGCCAACACCCAGCTTGTCCCACCTTATGTTCATCACTGTGCTCTCCGGTGAGAGACTGAAGTGCAGCTAACCCTTGATAGTTGCATGGGTAGAGGCAGACAATTGCTTGTGGCTCACAAAGGGTTCTTGGTTTGTTTTTTTAAATAGGAGGAGTAATAGGGAAAGTCTCTTGGCCAGACTGTCTTGGGCTGTTCCTTGAGTGCTGTGAGGAGGTGGTTGTCTTTTACTAATGAAAGCCCTAACGAAAACCTGGGCTAATAAGGAAATGAGGGGATCTTGCTGCTTCCCAGTTCATTGCATGGTCCCCACAGCTTGTGTCTAGTGCACGACTCAGTGTGGAGAAGCTCATGCTCCTGGAGAGAAACTGATCCGTCTGCTGAGCAGAGTTGCAGCCCTCTTAACTGGCTGGTAAAGCTTGAATTACACTGACACAGCCTCCTGGTTTTGCCCTCTTTTCTCTTTTTCACCCAGTGCATTTCCATGAGATGAAAGCCCAGTAAGTGACACTCAGCTGCTATCAACTCTGTTTTAATGTGGACTTTTCTGAGAGGCAAAAAAAAAAAAAGCGTCTCCCAAGGTCATTAGCTGACAATTGCAGCCTGTTTGAAAATTGCTTGCACTCTCTGCTAATTGGTCTACCAGACCTGTTCATTTGTTAATTTGATGCCATTAGGTAACCGGCACATCTCTGCTGCAGATGGAGGGAGGCAGGGACCGAGGCGGCTGTTTTGGTCTCTCTCTTTGGGTGGACCTGCCACCCTGGGCTAGGTGGTATAAAACCTGGCCGGTGGGGCGAAGGGCACAGGCTGAATGAATAAATTGATTTAGGCTGAGTCAATAGCTCAACCTTAAAGTAATTATTGCAATTACTTAGGTTGGCCTCCAATTGACTGTTTTTTGAATTTGCAAAGTAAAAGGAAAAAAAAGATGTTTCAGGGTTAAATGAGTGCTTTATTCGACCAAAAATGCATTATGCATGAGTCCTATAAATAAGACTGAAGGGCTGGGCTCACAGAATAGGAACAGATACCTGGCCTGACTCTCTCTCTCCTCTTTCCTTTCACTACATGGCTCCTTGTTTATGAGACAATAACCTGGGGTGAGGAGGTGGGTCCTCGAGCAGGGTGCCTCTGCTGTGGGCTGCTTTCCACCTCTGCTGCTGCCTGTATGAAACATGAGGAGATGGGGGGGGAAAAGAGGAACTGGCTCTGCCCTTGGTCTGCTAGGGTTGAGCCCAGGAGGAGAGCACAGATCCTGGTGTGTGGAGAGACCACGTTGTGCCCACCTCTGGATGGTCAGGCTATTTTTGCAGGAAAAAGACCTTGAATTCAACAGGGAGGGGATTTGAACTGAGATTTATGCCTGAAATGCTGCAATAAGAGACATCATCCGTGTCTGTCTGTGAAGGGTGCCAAATGCCCTGAAACTGTTTATACACTTAAGAGTATTTGTTGAGCGCAACCCAAATTGTTCTAGGTTGGTCGAAAGAGGATCTTTTAACAGCTTCGCTCTGATTTGTTTTTAGATAATTCTTCCCCTATGTCAGGTCAGCCTCCTACAGTTTGTACTGCTGTACTAAGCAGAAACACAGCCCATCAGTAAACTGGTGTTACTGGTTGATGATATCTTGGTGTTGTGAACCTGTAGCAACTGTAATTTCTTTAGTGTGGAGAAGAAAGATTAACTGAAGATTAACTAGCTTGGCTGGTGGGTCCCACCTGGGAAGGGCTCAGTTTCAGCCCTCTGGTGTTCTCTGATGGTGGGGGAAGACTTGTGCCGTGGTCAGAGCCAGGGGTCAGCCACAACTCTTTTGTTCCTCCACTATCTGGTAGCTCTGCCTCACTTCAAACAACAGCCCTAGGACCAAGTACCACATTGCCCATCCCAGCAGGGTCTCCCTCCATCTTCCTGGTAGCCTTCACCCCCAAAAGACTGGGAACACTTCACTCCCCAAAATAATTACCTTAAAAACACCCGCTGCTTTCCATAGTGTGTTTAAAGACTGTGGTTTACTGGTATACACAAGTCTTTGCTGCCTGTGCCCCATTGCATCAACAGCAGTGGATGAGATGGAAGAGAGGAGT